TATTTTGGAACTACACAAGTATTCCAAATGAGTCCTGCTGTGGCGCTGTGGGATACAACACTGAACCGCAAGGTTGGTTTGAGCTGCAAGGTCGGTGGTTCAAGCTCACCAGCTGCTCCTGGGAAACCCTATACAGAGTCACTGTGAGGTGGAATCGACGTGACGGCACTTAACAACAACAACAACCATCCAAGTATTCAGAATCTTGGTGTGGCACTGTAGAATAAGTACTGGACTGCTTACCACAAAACCAAATGTTCCAGCAAGCCAGCTGCTCCTCAGAAACCCTATACACGGTGGCTATGAGTCAGAACTGGCTCAACAACCCTTAACAACAGCGATAAGCCAAGTATTCCACAATAATTTCCCCATCTCAAAGTCTTTTTCTTAATCACATCTTTACAGTCCCTTTTGCTGTACTAAGGTAACATTCATAAGTTTCAAGGATAAGGCGGTGGACATCTCTGAGGGACATTATTCTATGTGCCTCATATACTCCTAAAATAACCTTTCTCTGGGCCCTACTGTCATTTCAGATAGACAACCCAATTCCATTTCTAGATTCTTCTTTGCTCCTTTCTAGTTTACATGGGAGGCAGAGATGCTGCAAGGGAAAGCAATGAAGAGTGTCTGACTGGGTTCTGGTTTGACTAGAAGAAGAAGGAACAGCGATGCTCCGGAAGGGTCCCATCAGAGTTATCTGGGATGCTTTTCCATTTCAAGCATCCCGAATTCTGACCTGCCTTCCCTTGGGATGACCACCTCCACTGCTCCACTTGCGTCACTGCCAAAGGGAGCCTTTGTCCATGAGAACATTACATGTTTCTCATGTGTGTGTTATTGTTAGGTGCTATCAAGTTGGTTCTGACTCATAATGACCCTGTACACAACAGAATGAAACACTGCCTGATCCTGGGCCACCCTCACAGTTGTTGTTACCTTTGAGTTCATTGTTTCAGCCCCTGTGTCATTCCATCTTGTTGGAAGTCTTCCTCTTTCCCTCCTGGTGATGGTGGTGGTAGTTGTGTGCCACTGAGTCAGCTCTGACTCACAGCAACTCTGTTTAGGGTTTCCGAGTCTGTAAATCTTTGGAGGAGCAGAAAGCCTTATCTTTCTCCCATGGAGTAAGTGGTAGATTCGAGCTGCTGACCTTGCTGTTAGTAACCCAGTTCATAATCCACTATGCTACCAGGACACCCAGTGATGCAGAGGGATGGAAAGGAGCTTTTAGAGAAGAGGTTGGAGTAGGGGTGAAAAGGAGATGGTGAGCAAAAGCTGGGACAATACCTGTGTGGCACAGACCAGGATAGAGTAACCACTTTGTCCCAGGATGGAGAGTAGAAGGGTTTGGAAAATGAGATGGGTAGTCTTAGCTGGACCACAGTAGTTTTCGAGCTGCTAAAGATGGGAATATTAAGTTCTGAGTGAATTCTGTGAGGAGAGAGAACTGTTGGACTGGGGACCAGACAGGTCAAGTTTAAAGAGAGGAACAGGGATGGCTTTGTCTCTATGCCTCGGTGCATGCCCTCTTCAGTGAGAAGTTTACCGAGAGTCTCAGCTACCAAGGGCTGTTGAATGCTCAAGCTTATGACACAAAGACTAGACAAAGGACAGATTGGGCTGTCACAGTGAGATGCATAGAGAAGCTTCCCTTGATGGTTTCTTCTTATAGCGAGTCTCACAGAACTGATTGGTCAACCTCGGCTCCCATCCCATCTAGATGAGATGTTTTCATTCTTGGGAATTTCTGAGTCACATGTAGTTTTCCATGGATGATGCCAAGACTTTTGCTGGGAGACCTTGGACTAGAGTAGATGACTATGTATGCATAAATGGCTGGCGGAAGGGAAATCACTTGATGTACACATGCATTTGTTTTCTATTGCTCTTGTAATACCTGGTTCAGTCACGCTGAAGGTCACATGGCATATGGATGATACAAATACTTTGTGCCGTCGTTGAGAACATACACCAGTTTCTACATGTGAAATGTAGTGACATTATGAATACTCTTTGAGTTAGGCAATCATTCCCACCTTCTTTTCAGAGTTTTTCTTTCCTTGTGAACATAAACTCACTACATAGTTCTTCAAAGAGCACAGTGCTCAAGGCAGAACTTTTGGACAAATGAAGCTAGACTATTGTTCAGTTTTAAGATGACTTCAGAGGAGCAGATCTTGTTTTAAGCAAGTCATAATTAAGTAATTTTTAGAAACCCATTCAATGTTTTCCAGGGTAGTGATTGAATATCGCGGTCACAGGGTTGTGGCTACCCAAGAAGATGTCATGGCGTCCGTAAGAGGCAACCATGGTCTGACCAAGATACGCGATCAACTTGAGAAACACCGGGAGACACTTGGTCACGTTTCTTGTTTCCCTTGTACTTCTCCCCTTAATGAAGTGACTACGGTCCTACTCCATCAGTTCCCTGGACCTGCCTATGAGAATTTAGGCAAATCACCTTACCAGATTGAGATTCCAACTCCGTATCTGCAAATAGGAGCAGGAAACAACATCTGTGTCAGAGTGTTGTTGTGATGAGAAAACGTCAAATGTCAAGTTCCTGGGTTGGTTCCTGGCAATAGTAGGTGATCAATAAATGTTGGTACCCTTCTTTTTGTTATTGTTTGTAAAGTGCCATCGAGTCTGTTTTGACTCATGTTGTTGTTAGATGCTCTTGAGCCCCTTCTGACTCATATTCGACCTTACACACAACAGAATGAAATACTACCTGATCCTACACTATCCTCACAATCGTGGTTAAACTTGAGACCATTGTTGCTGTCACTGTGCCTATCCATCTTGTTGGGGACCTTCATCTTTTTCACTCACCTTCTACTTTAGCAAGCACAATGTCTTTCTCCAGGAACTGGTCCCTTCTGATAATATGTCTGAAGTATCATAGACAAAGTTTTGACATTCTGGCTTCTAAGGAGCATTCTTTACTTCTTCCAACAAAGATTTGTTTGTTCTTCTAGCAGTCCATGGTACTTTGAATATACTGCTCCGATGCCATAACACAAAAGCATCCATTCTTCTACGATCTTCCTTATTCAATGTCCAGCTTTCGCATGCATAAGAGGTTATTGAAAATACCATGGCTTGGGTCAGGCGCACCTTAGTCCTCAAGCTGACATCTTTGCTCTTCAACACTTTTAAAAGGTCTTGTGCTGCAGATTTGCCTAATGCAATATGTCATTTGATTTTTCATAGTGACTGTATATAGGGTTTCTGAGGGGTGGCTGGTGTGTTTGAACCACTGACCTTGCAGTTGGCAATCCAGTGTTTATCCTGCAGTGCCACACTAGGACCCCTCTTCCTTGTTGTTGTTGTTATGTGCCGTGGAGGTGGTTCTGACTCATAGCGACCCTGTACAGGGTTTCCGAGGCTGTAAATCTTTGTGGGAGCAGAAAGCCCCATCTTTCTCACGCGGAATTGCTGAGCTTAAGGTTCGCAGCCCTATTCATAACCACTATGAAAAATGAATCAGACCAGAATGACATGGATTTACTGGTTGTCTGTAAGTATTGCAAAAGCTGTCCTTTATAAAAGGGGAAAAATCTGTTGTTTGGTGCTCCAGAGAGCAGAAGAACTAGAGCTAATAGGTAAAAAAGGAAGGGAGATGGAGTTCATCAAAGTAAGGGAGAACTTTGTGATTGTTGTTGTTGTTGTGTTGTTAGGTGCCGTTGAGTTGGTACCAACTCATAGCGACTCTATGCACAGCAGAATGAAACACTGCCCGATCCTGGGTCAACCTCACTACTGTTGCCACGCTTCAGCCCATTGATGCTGCCACTTAGCCAATCCATCCCGCTGGGAGTCTTCCTCTTTTTCTCTGACCCTCCACCTTACCAAACATAAGATCCTTCTCCAGTGACTGGTCCCTCCTGACAATATGTCCGAAGTATGAGAGATGAAGTTTGGCCATCCTGGTAATGATTAGAGCTGTCTTATAATGAACGTTGTTGTTGTTAGGTAAATTAGTGAACAACTTGTTCCAGAAGTTTTCAATGAAGGCAGGGGTTGTCAACCTCAACACTGTTTGACATCATGGGCCAGATGACTCTTGGTTGTCAGGGCTTGCCCTGTGCATTGCAGGGTATTTAGCAGGATACGTGGCCTCGCTGTATGACAGTAGCGATCTCTCGTCATCCAGGATGACAGCCAAAATATCCGCAGACATTGCTCAATGTCCCCTGGGGGCAGAATCATTCTTGGTTGAGAACCATTGAACCAGAGGCCAGACAACAGAGAGATGGTCAACTCCATCCTACTCATTATTAAATCCTTAGACCATAAGTTTCAGGAATTCTGTGAGGGATTTTCTGGTTTTGGATTGCACCTGCCACCTTGGATTAAAGACTTAACACGTGTGAAATTGTGAGGTTTGCTTTAAGCTATAGAGAGCAACTGAAGTAACTGCTTGGGGCTGAATGAACGATTTCCTGCTCATCATTTTCTAAATTGTGGTAAAATACATGCAACAAGAATTCATCATTTTAATCAGATTAAGACCCTCAGTGAGAAAGCGGCTGCAACCATGGGTTCAAACGTCAGAACGATTGTGAGGATGACCAGGCCTGAGCAGTGTTTCCTTCTGTTGTACATCGGGTCACTAGGAGTCGGAACCGATTTACCAGCGCCTGTCAACAACAACAACATTTTAAAGTTGATACTATTCAGTGATCTATAGTACATTCACAGTGTAGTAGAACCATCACCTCTGTCTATTCTCAGACCATTTTCACTCCCCTAAAAGGAAGCTCTGTCCCCTATTCCCTCCAGCCTCTTGTGGCCCCAGACCTGCTTTCTGTCTCTCTAGAGCCGCTTGCTCTGGATATTTAACAGAAATGGAATCATATGTTTTTGTCCTTGTGTGCCTGGCTTCTTTGACTTAGCATAATGTTTTCAAGGTTCACCCATGTTGTAGCATGTGCCAGCGACTTCATCCCTTTTTCTGGCGGAATCATCCATTGAATGTTCTCACTGTGGTTTTGTAGGTCATGTTAGCGGCTTCCTATTGGTCCCTGCTGGCTCCTGCAGTTGAGATGGCCAAGTTGTCTGGAGGCTTCGGTGCGTTTGCCTTCTTTCCTGTGGCTGTTGGCTTCACCCTCGGAGCTGCTTTCGTCTACCTGGCTGACCTGCTGATGCCTCACCTGGTGAGTACCTGTGGACTCTCGTGCCTGGATCTTTCTAGTTCTGGGCAGTCGACGTATTTATGATATGCCTCTTTCTGCCTCCGTAAAGTTGCGATAGATGTCAAAACAGATATAAAGGCTTTTATTTAGCAGAACTGAATTCTGGTATCTTTCTGAAAGAAACAAATCTCTTAGCAACATGAAGAACTCAGACTCTTATTTGCATTTTGTTAAGTTCAGATTCTGGATGTCAGATGTCATTACCCGTTGTGGTTACGAATTGGGCTGTAAACCGCAAGGCCAGCAGTTCGAAACTACCAGCTTCGATGATGAAAGATGAGGCTTTCTGCTCCCGTAAAGATTTACAGCCTCGGAAACCCTGTACAGGGTCGCTATGAGTCAGAACCGACTCCACAGCACATAACCACCATCATAGCTGACGTACTGTGTGACGCCATGCCTGTGAGTCGGCCTTGAACTGGAGGAACAAAGGACCTTGATCATGGCCCTGACCCATAATGAGTTTACAATGTAGCTAGGGAGATGACAACCATTGACAAAGTATCACATCCACAGTGACTCCTAGGAGTATGAAGGGGACGGTGTACTTGGGCTGGGGTTGAACTCACATCTTCCTTTATGGTTTGTGAGTCCCTGAACTATAGTTTTCCTTTCCGTAATATTAAAATAACTCCCATCACTGTTTTCAACTTTATCATTCTAACTGCCAAAATGGAACCAAAAGATGTTGAGGAACTTCCAAGTACAAAGTCAAAACAAAATGGCCCCAGCATTGGGGAGAACAAGAAATTGTAGGCCCTTTGCCTACATAGGCCTGGTGGGTTGGGTTCAGGGATGAGCCTGGACTTGCTTACAGAGAAGCTAAGAACACAGCAGAGCCCAAACCAGATCATGTGACAGTAACTGACTACCATGGGCTGAGAACCTGTTACCAGAAGGAGATTGGACTCATTGCCAATAAGAACCCAGGTCATGCTAAACACAGTATGCCTACAAGTCCTAGAGGTGGACAGAATCCTCTATAAACAACCAGACTCTGGGTTGGAATCTTCTGTTCACCCAGAGAGGGAAGACGCATAGGAAGGGCTGTATCGGGGAGAATGGGACCCAAGACCACTTCTTCTGTTAGGTCCTGGTGAGATAGGATTAGGTCCGAGTCAATGGGCCAGGTATCCCAGGAGACAAGCTGAAGTTGTCTTTCTGGTCTACCTACCTTCTTTCTTGCCTTAATTTCCCTGGGAACTTGGCTTCCAGTCCTTAAGGCTAATGAGATCTGGAACCAGACCATTGGTGTGGGCTGCCCAGACTGAGACATACCAAACACAGTTTAGGGAATGGTTATCCCTTGCACAGAAAGATTATCTTCTGGACCCCAGGCTGTGCATGCTGATTGGCTGGAGAGCCATGATTTTTGTCTTGGAGGAAAGACTATGTTTTTGAATAGCCATGTTCTTTTTGCCCCTGGTTATGTGTGAACTTGCTGTTGGGGTCTATTCCCTGTACCCTGGAAAGAAGAGCATGTGACCAGAGGCCTTCACTCTTCAACAGTGGACGTGGGGCCAGCTCAGTGGACCTCATTCTGCCGTCCCCATCTTGGCTTAACCTGCTTCTAAGCAGAACTTCCAGTGGGTTCATTCTATCTGCCCCCCTGTAACGGTATCTTGTTTAAATGTGGATTTGGGTTCAGTCTATCAGGGTGGAAATGCAGCTTCTCGGCAGGGGCTGGAACAGGAATGAACCGGTTGGAAGCCATCCTTCTAAGAGACTCTCTGGGATCTGTTGCTCCGCAGTCTCTGTGGACCATCATGGCACCAGGGCAGTGGAAGTGCCCTGCACAGGTGTATTTGATCAGCTGTCTGCACCGTGGACCTTTCTCGGAGCAGTGTCAATAGTAATTGGTCAATTTGTACTGTGTATCAGCACTTTTTTTTTTTTTAACCTTTGGTTCATGTTTGTTCTTATTTATGCTTTGAATATGGAGCGAATCCCAGGGGAAAGCGGCAGATAGAGTACACACAGAAGGCAAGCATGGTTTGGGAGTACCGGCTGAGTGTCCAGGGAGGGCATGAAGGGGGCTTGAGGTCCAGAAAACCAGAATATCATTCACTCACCCTCATTGGTACAAACAGCCTGATTAGCAACATCTACTGTAGAACGTTCGAAAAGAAATGAATTCTTGCTGTTGACACGAGAAGGGTATTTGCCTTAGAAGATCTTATACAGAGATGAGAATTATTTATAATTTCTACGGTTGCTGAATACAAATGCTGCCGTAAAAGCCTTGCATAGAAACAGCCTGCTGACCTTCACTCTTGGGCAGGATAAAGGCTTCTCTTGGCTGCACTATTAATTTGCTTACTAAACCTGAAAAGGGCAGCAGCTTGCATCCACTGGAGGTGCTTTGTGGCATCTGAGTTAATGGGATCTGACCTGGAGTTCATGTAGTTGTTCAGCATTGATGGAGCTCCATCCACTGGGAGGAGTCTTTTTTGGGGGCAGAGAGTGGGGAGGGCTAGAATTTTATTTCAGGAGGTTTGCTGATCTTGGACTGTATCAACCAGTAGTTTTGAGGCTGTGGAAAGTTCTGTGAGCAAATTCTGCCTGAGACCCTTTCAGTTTCCAATGACAAAGCCCTGTGTTCAGCAGAGGGGTCAAGGAACATGGTGAGGGTAGAATAAAAGATTTTGGGTGCAGTAGAGACAGAGGGGCTCTCATCTTGGGGAGCAGGCCCAGGGGTCAAGGGGACCTGCCGAATGTAAACCCTAGTGGTCTTTTCTGTGTGTCTTATGGGGATCAAGGGGTGAAACGATTGTTGTTGTTGTTAAGTGCTATTGAGTTGGTTCCAACTCTGTATAGGGTTTCCGAGGAGCAGCTGGTGGACTTGAACCACTGACTTTATGGTTCAAACCAATCTTGCTGTCAAGTGCATTACCCTGCAGAGCTACACAGAAGTCCAGTAAGGACGGAGATGTATTTGAGCCTGCAATTCTCTGCCTTGACCCTCCTGGCCACGACCATCCAAGTCCAGGTTCCAACACCTGAACGACAGGGCTGCTGACCCCAGTTATCTCTATTTAGGAGGTGGGGAGGGGGGTGGTGGAAGGGTAGCAAGGGTTGGTGGGAAGGAAATAATGAACAAAAGACTATGTTTTCTCCCTTCTTTCCTGTCCATCAGCCTTACAGATTAATTTTTATCCTTTTTGGAGCAGAAGCAAAATCTTACTCAGGGAAAGGGTTTAACTCATAACCTCCTGTCAGGTTGAAGGCTCGTGGTTTTGTTAACTTGAGATGCAGCAAATTGCTCTCTGAACTGGGTATTTATTTCCAGGCTGTGATTTAGGAATCGAATAGAGGAGGCTTGTGCTGTAGCCCTTAATGAGAAATGTACTGACAGGGATTTACAGAGATTTGTCAAATGGTATCTTCACGAAAGAGACAAAGGAAGCAGAGAGATAGCCAGGAAGACTTGACCTGTGGGACTGGGAGGACGTGATCTGTAAGGACCTGGGAGGACGTGACCTGTAAGGACCTGGGAGGACATGA